AGAGAGAGAGAGAGAGAGAAAAAGAGAGAGAGAGAGGGAGAGAGAGAGAGAGAGAGAAAGGGAAGAAGAGGAAATGGTTAGCTTTCCCACTAAGATATGTGAGCCAAGGGACCTATATATCAAACAGACAGTATAAAAGCATAGTAGGGAAATGTAAAAAGAACTAATTCGAGTAACTTTTAAACATAGTACTTACTTGATATAAGGGAAAGGAAAGGGAGGAAAGTGGGGATGGGGGAGAAAGGGAAGGAAGAGGAAAAAAGAGGAGGGAACCGAAGAGGGGAGAAGGAAGAGAGCCGGGGAAGGAGAAAGGAAGGGAAAAGGGCCAGAAGGACAAGCAAAGAGGGAAAAGGAAGGAGGACAGGAAGGAAGGGGAAGGGGAAGGAGGAGGAAAGCTAGAAACCAAGGTTTAATATTTTATTTATTATTTGTATTTTATGTGTCGTGTAGTGCCTGCGTGTAGGTAAGTGCACCTGTGTCGTGCAATGCCCGGGGAAGTCAGAAGAGGCTGTCGGATCCCCTGGGCCAGGAGTTACGGACAGTTGTTAGCTGCCATGTGGGTGCTGGGATTCGAACCTGGGTCTTCTGCAAGAACAACCAGTGTTCTTAATTGCTGGGCCATCTCTCCAGCCCCAAGATTGTTTTATGTAAATCTACACACACACACACACACACACACACACACACATATAGTGTGTGTGTGTGTGTGTGCGTGTACAACAAACCAGAATTTCTTAAAATTTAAGTCCAAACAAAATACGAAAGCAAAAAGTATTTACTCCAAATATTCACTCCAGAAGAGCCAGGCCTGTTAGTGCAGCAAACCACACTCAGAGGCAGGCGATTCATGAATTCAAAGTGAGCCTGGATCACATAGGAAGAGCTTCTCTCCAGAAAAAAAAACAAAAAAAAAACAAAAGAATTCCACTAACGAAACATTGCATGTTACATGCTTAGCTTAGCTTTACCAATAAAGATCTGTTAGACCCAGTGAGCCTAACTTCCTATCAAACACAGTATAACACAGGAGGGAAATTTAAAAAGACCCAATCTAAGCAACATTTGAAGACAGTACTTTGTCATAAAGAACTAAAATAAAAAGAAATCTTGCCACTTACTTTTTTTTTTTCTTTTCAGAAGGCTGGTTTTTTGTTTGTTTGTTTGTTTCTTAATAGCAGTATTGGTCTAACAATTTTTAAGTTATTTTGTATCTACTCTGAGATTTGTTGAAAGCCAGATTTCCTGCTGTTAAAAAAAAAGAACACAAATTTGGGATATGTGAAGACGAGTAAGATTCTGTGTACTGGAAAAAAATTAGAGGAATCAGTGTGAATGCACAATTTTAAAATATACTAATGCTAAAGGCAATTTAGTACCCTTGACTGGCCCTTAGAACAAAAAAACATATTAAACTAAATGTGGTGGAACTATCCTGTAATTCCAGCACTTGGGAGGCTGAGGCACGGGAATTTGCAGTTCCAGGCCAGCGGCAAGGTTCTGTCTCAAGAAAACCAAATAAGCTAAAATTATTTGAATGTTAAATGTGCAGGCATAAATAGGCCATCTATATCACCCTCTCCAAGGCACAGGGAACATCCTGGAAGAGGCAGAAAGAAAGAAGAGTCAAAGGATGAGGTAGAGTGTGTTGGAGTCTGGCATCCTGGCATGACATGACTTAATTCTCAGTAGACATGATTACCTGACAAGACTGGCCCAGTCCAATGGTAGAGAGAACAGACATTCAGAAGGCCTTACCCCTCGGTGAGGATCTACAGACAGTTAACAATTGCTGGCAGTTAACATTTCTTCAGTGTTGTAGCCACTGGTAAAATACCCCTAGCCCTAAAAGTAGCCTCACCTATGCTCCTGTAAGCAGCCCTAATTAAACTTACTAGGTCATTAAAAAAGACGAGGCTAGTTGAGAGAAGGAAGGGGATCCCTGGAATAGGAAGAGGATAAAAGAGAGTACTGGGGATGAATACGACTAAAATGTATACATGTATGAAAATGTCATAATAAAACCTACTGTTGTGTAATATAATGCTAACAAAAGCATTAACATTTTTTATTATTTTTGAAACTTATTTATTTTATGTATATGAGTGTATTGCTTGCACATACGTGTACCTGGGTCATACAATGCCTGAAGAGGTCAGAAGAGGGCATAGGATTCCTGGAACGAGTTAAGGATGGTTGTTAGCTATCATGTGGGTGCTGGGAATCAATCCCCAGTCTTCTATAAGAGCCACCAGTGCTCTTAACCACTAAGCCATCTCTCCAGCCTGAATTCACCTTTCTATATACTAAAATCTCATATGTAGGAGCTGGGAATGAAGCAAAGCAGTCAAATAAATGGTTATCATATACAATCAGGTCCAAGATTCAGTATGCAGCATGCTTAAAAAAAAAAAAAAAAAAAATCAGGGGCTGGAGAGATGGTTCAGTAGTTAAGAGCACTGGCTGTTCTTGCATAGGACCCAGCCCCAACACCTACAAGGTAGCTAACAATCATCCATAACCCCAGTTCTAAGGGAACTGATGTGCTTTTCTGGGCAATGCATGAGACGGGTGCACTTATGTACATCCAGGCAAAACACTCATACACATTAAAAATAAATAATTTTTGAATTTTTAAAATCACATATCCTAGGAAAAATCCTAACTTCTGTTTTGCTCCACTAGCCAATTCCCAAGCAACAGCCAATTAATTCTAAGAGGTCTATGTTTTTGATTTTGTAAACTCCCTTTTTTCACTCTGATTTAAAATAGAAAACTTTGTAAGGTCTTTCATTCAAGTTTATTAAGTTTCAGGGAAAAAGCAGGGCTTAGTGGTTGGTGCACATCTGTAATTACTGCACTTCAGGCACTGAACAGTTGGACTGTCATGAATTTGGGGCCTCTTCAGGTTATATAGTAAGTTGCAAGTCTGCTTGGGACACATAGCAAAACCTCATTTCAATAAGCAAAAATAACAAAAAAGGTTTTAAGGGGAAGCAAGTTGAGATTTTTGTTTGGAACTACTTTAAAGCACAGCACTGGGATCATCAGCAAGATGGCTCAGTGGGTTAAAGGTGCTTACTGACAAGCCTTGTTCAAAATGCTACGAATTACAGCAATGAGTGCACTGAATGCAACTAGACATAATGGCGCATCACTTGGGAGGCTGAAGCAGGAGGCCAGCCTGGTCTACATGAGTTTGCAGCCAGCCAGGGAAACATGGGAGGTAGCACACTACATGCCCTGTCTTTATAGGCATTTAGTGTCTAATAGTATAGCTGAAAAATGATCAATAAACTTATAATTTCATAAAATGCAATGAAGAAAAGTAAAGCAAAGCCAGACATGGTAACAGACTCTTGTAATTCCAGCATTTGGGGGCAAGGGGAGCAGAAGTTGAAGCTCATCCTCCTCCACCATACAGCACATCAGAGGCCAGCCCAGGCAACACCAGATCTCAGGCAGCTCTCTCCTAGAGAAACCCACTCACAGTCTCAGGTGTGTCTTACTTTCTTCCTGAGTGCCTCCTTCCTTCTCTTAATCCTCTTGCTTAAAACCTGTCTTAATAAGGGGCTGGAGAGATGGCTTGGCAGTGAAGAGCACTTCTGGAGGACCCAAATTCAGTTCCCAGCAATCATGTCAGGCAGCTCATAACTACCTGAAACTCCAGCCTCAAGGGTTCTGATGTCCTTTTCTGGCCTCTGTGAGCATTACATGAACAAATACATACCCGCAGAGACAGACAGACAGACAGACAGACAGACACACACACACACACACACACACACACACACACACACACGAAAAAATAAAGCTGGGCATGGTGGTGCAGGCCTTTAATTCCAGCACTTGGGAGGCAGAGGCAGGTAGATCTCTCTGAGTGTGAGGCCAGCCTGGTGTACATAGTTGAGTTCAGGGCCAGCTGGGCTATATAAAGAGATCCTGTCTCAAAAGCGCTGTGGGGAAGGAGGGGTAGAGTGAAGGCTCAATGGTCTAACCACACTTGCTCCTTTTCCGGAGGACCCGGGTTCAGTTCCCAGCACACACAGGGCAGCTAACACCCACCTATGGCTACAGTTCTAGGTGACCCAACGCTCTTTTGCTTTCGGTGGTGCCCCGCATGGACGTGGCGCACTTAGACACACGCAGGCAAAACACTCATACATACAAAACAAAAATATTCTTTAAAAAGAATCCACTGTTTTAAATTTTTTAAAAAACAAAACCAAAAAACTGGGCTGGAGAGATGGCTCAGGGGTTAAGAACACTGACTGTTCTTGCAGAAGACCCAGGTTCGAATCCCAGCACCCACATGCACTTACCTATATGCAGGCAATATACTCACACATAAAACAGAAACAATAAAATGTTTAGAAAACTCTTTTAAACCTTTCCTCGCCTTTAAGAGGCCCAAGCAGGAGGACTGCAGCAAGTCTGAGGTCACCCAGGTCTGCAGAGCAAGTTTCAGACATGCCTAGAGCACATGCAAGACCCTGTCTCAAAAAGAAATTCTTTTTTCTAGACTGGGCATGATGGCTCATGCCGGTAATCCCAGCACTGGGGTAGAAGCAGCAAGATTATAGAAAATTCAAGGCTAGGCTGGGCTACCTGATGAGTTCCAGACCAGCCAGTTCCAGACCGTCTCAAAATAAATAAATCAATAAATAAATCCTATGTTCTTCCATCAAATATGATTATAAATTTCAAATAATAAAATATCTAATTTTGAAATTCCTTATGATATTGCAATATGTTAAAAGACTTACTCTTTTACATAAGCTATAATATATGAAATTCCTCAAATTTTACCTATGCTTCTTATTCTGTTTTGTGTTTTCTTTTATAATCTATGTCTTTTGTTTTTTTCTAAACAGGGTCTCATCACATAACTCAAGCTGGCCTGAAGCTAGTTAACTATATAGCCAAGGCTGACCTCAAACTCACAATCATCCTGCCTCCACCTTCCAAGTTGAGTGGGGGGGGGGTATTATTGGTGTGCACCACAACTAGCTTCCCAAATTTTAACTGTTAAATTTCCCATTCCATCAAGGTACCCCATTGCTACAAATCTGTAAGACTGGCAATCCGACAGAGAAGGTACAATTTGTGAGACAATTTGAGAAATTTTAATATTATGAAAAGCTTATGTACTACTTTCAACAAGCATTATATTAGAAATTCCAATTATAACAAATTCTGTTTTCAACCTGAACACTCAAGTAAGACAACCTGCCACTGACTCGGTCGCTTTCTTTTTTCACTTTACAACCTGTACTTACGATGCAAGTACGAGGGTAAAACAGAACTCTCAAATTGAGCAGCAAAGCCAACAGTGTTTGTCTTGGCAGGAAATACCAATGACAACATGAGATGTTGCAGGGCGCACGCCTTTAAACCCAGCATTTGGGAGGCAGAGGCAGGTGCATCTCTGTGAGTTTAAGGCCAACCTGGTCTCCATAGCAAATCCAGGCCAGCTGTGGCTACCGGGAGACCCTGGGTCAAAAAGACAAAAAAGAAAAAGAAATAGAAAATATGAGATGTTCAGCCTTAACTGGCAGATATATAAAAGGCACTCATGCAAAATGCTTGGTATAGTTACAAATTAGCTTTTATTTTAGATGCTTAACATGTTTCTTTTCTTTTTTTTAAACATGTTTCTTTAGAAGGAGCACCTCGCCCAAGTAGCGATCCAAATCTGGCACCAGAGAATGATCGGGCTTGCACACCACTGCAGCTCCTTGTCATGTAAATCATTTGCTTTCAAGAATAGTCTCCACACATAGCTTTTCTGCCCATTTCTCCAACTAAAAGTTCAAATTGATACTACAGAATACTGTTTAGTCTCAACAGAATACACATTTACAAATTATACAGAAGCACATTACTAAAACAAACACTTCAACATTTCTGACATCACAGCTCTTCTATTATCCAAATAACAAAATCAAACGATTATACACCACACAAGGTACTATTAGCCAAAATCAAATGGCATAGGCTCACTTCACTAAAACCAGTAATAGAAAAGATTAGATCCCCTAATCTCAATCAAGTAGTTTACAAAACAGTCAACGGGGACACCATTAGTAGTGGGGGTCAAAGCAAGCGAGGTGAATACAAATCTGTTCATTTCCTCGATTTATCAGGTCCCAGTCACACACTAAGGAGGCAGTTTTCCAACTTTTTAACAATAATATAGAGTTTCACGGTTATGACTGAGATACAAATTAATATTTCCCTTTCGAAACTAATTTTTGTGGAGAAAAATCACACAAAATGTTCTAGTTTTGAGGTAACAATATGCTCTATCACCTCAAATCAAATGTTTATTGAAAACGGCTACACCTTGGAAGTAAGCAGAGATAAAAGCGGAAGCAGAGATAAAAGTAGAAAACATACGGGTTTGTGCACAAATAAGCTCAGTAGGTCAATTTCTCAGGCTTCAAAGCATGACTCTCTCCAAGGCACAGCACAGGCAATCGAGGTTTCACTACTAGGGACGACACCTTCCCTCCTCACATTTGCTCAAGTAACTACGGCAACTGCCCTAAATTTTCCCGTGTGAAACCAACACAGTGTGGGGGAAGGAGGGGAGGGGGCATTTGAAAACTGGGTCATTCCTTATTCGTTCTCACGAAGCACGTTCTTCGGGAGGGAAAAGGCCTATGAAGCAGAAGTGGGGGGGGGGGCAGTGTCAGCATCCTCAACGCAGAAGTTACAGCTCTTTACAAGAGTCAGCACTAGGGGCTCATTAGTTGGCTTTACTTGCGATTAGTCACTCCGGAGTTGAATGGAACTGCCTTCCTCTAAGTTATCTCCGAGAAAGAAGCCCTTAGCATCCGTCACTGTCCAGAGCAGGAAATGCCCTCGATTCACCTGCAACACCTGCCCGCGCCCCCCGCCTCCACCCCCGCAGTGTCCCCGAACCTTTGGCAGCAACCGAGCCCCGGAGCACCGCTCGCCGCCCAGCAAGCTCGGCCTGCGTCCCGGAGCCCCGCTCCCGCCCTCCCCGGCGGTGGTCCCAGGCCAGGCCTTCGCCCTGCACCGAGGCGATCCTCAGGACTCGGGCGGCTCGCGAGGCCCTCGGCGCCTTTCCCGCCCCAGGGACGTGGTTTCGGAAAGTAGGCCAGGAAGGCGGCCGCGGTCCTCCGCCTCCAAGCTCAGCCGGGCGGTACCTGGCCGCCGGCCTCCCAGCGCCACCGCGCCACCGCCTCACCTGCGCAGCTCTGTCAGCGGCCGGACGGCGCAGCTTCCTGGGGCATGAAAGCGCCGGCTCCGCGGCCTGGGCGCCCTCCGCAGGGCAGGGCGGGCCGGGCCGGGCCGGGGACTCCAGCGGTCACCCGCCGCTCTGCGCCTGCGCCTCCGCGCCGGCTGGGTCTCGAGGGGCGCCACCTGCAGCAAGGGCCGCTGCCCCGCAGAGCGGATCGCCGGCGCGAACGCTGCGGTCTAGGTGCTCCCCACGGGCAGGCTACCTCGACAGCTGCCCGCCATGTTTCTGTTCCCTCTTCTTTTTCCCTTCCCCTTCTTCCGCCCCTATCCACAGAACGGCACTTTCCCTCCCTCTTCCCCCTCCCTTTCCTCTTGAGGGGGCGGTGGAAAGGGCGGGGGGAGGGGCCGACCTCGGACCCGCCCCCGGACCAGAGCCCCGCCCCGTGCTCGGGCCGCACCCCCGGGCGCTCGTCGGCCGCGGGGTCCCGATTCCCCTCCCCCTGCCCTCTTGGACCGGTGGGGACCGGCCTGCGGCCCGGGCCGTGTTGCAGAGGTGTTGGCGCCGGCCTAGCTGACCCCGAAACTGGGAAAGAGAGCGCTCCGGGTGCTGCTTGGGTGCTTCCCCCGCGGCTCGGACCCCGCGCGCTCTGCCCTATCGCATGCCCAGGGCTGGTGGCGGTTGCGCCTCTCCAAGGCCGGGAGAGTGACCCTGAGTGGCTTAGGGTCGGTGAGGAACGCGCCACGACGCGAAGGCTGCAAGTCCCACGCGGGACGTCCCCGAGCGACCCGAGGGTTGCGCTTCCGAAGCCACTTCTCGGCCACAGCGCCTCCGGCGAGACCTTAGCTGCGTTCGCTTTCACTACTTCGGTTGGGAACTCCTAGAAGGACACTTTGGGTAACCGGTACCCCACCGCCTCCCAAGTGTAGCCTCCTTATCCCGGGGACTCCTTTCTGACTCGTTCTCCGTGATGCAGATTTGGCGACGTATTTCTGACCAATGTTTTTGAGCGGTCAATTATTCAAGGAGCAAATGGCTTGAAATAAATCACAGCTTTTTTTTACCTCCTGGGGGAGGGAGAAGTAATGAATGGCATATATGAAAAGGCCACAAACACTCTGCTTTATATACCATTTAAAAGTTATATTTTTAAAAAATATTTATACATTATCTACCTAGTATTCATGTTCGTAATGATCCTTATTCACTCAATTTTTGCTTAAAACTGGTGCATTAACTCTATGCCCTGTCGTCTGTTTATTTCTGAAAGTTACTGCTGATTTGAACAATTTTAGCCTTGTGTTCTATAACAGAAACTATTTTCCTAAAACCACGTTACCAGTCAGAATTCATTCAAGAAATGCACAACAATGCAAATAAGGCTCGCTTACCATTAGTTTTGAGTCAGTTTGGGAACCCTGTAGACCACTCTGACATTAACAATCAGAAGCTTTAAGGATACTCTAGTTTTTGAAAACTTAGCTTGTGAGTGCCTTGTATTCCCTCACCAATGTGAAAATTAATAGTTTCAGAATATATAATTGTGATAGAGGGCTTACCCAGCCTGCATGCCGTCCTAACTCTGAGAAAAAAAAAAAAAAAAGTTAGAATTTAAAAACTTTTTTAAAAAAGGAATAAAGTCAGAAATTGAGAGAGTTTTCCCAGACAACTGGGCAGTTATTCATGAAATCACAGCAATGGGAACGGTATGCACAAGTCCCACATAAGGTCAAGCCAGACAAAATCCCAGCATAGACGTGGGGAAGGGGATAAGAAACCCAACCCTAGCTGAGGACCTATTGGCAACTGATGGCTACCTGGAGAGGGACAGTCAATCTTTTTGAAGGAGGTGACCCTGGGTAGGTTGACCAGGCTCTAGTGGATGGACTCATACCAAAAGGCTTTTGAGAACACAAATTTCACTCCATAGGCCTTAAAAAATATATATATATATGTCTGTGTGTGTATTTATGTATTATATATGTATGCATGTTGCATATATAATAGAGTACATGAAATCAGGCAGGAGGTAGTAAGGTGGTGCAGATATGGGAAAGGGTCTAAATCTGATCAAATATATACTTTGTAAAAATCACAAAAATTCAACAACAAAATGTTTAAAGAAAAAAATGAAATGGAAGAAGCAGGGCTGGAGAGGTGGCTCAGCAGTTAAGAGAACTGTTTTTGCAGAAGACCCAGGTTCAAATCCCAGCACCCACATGGCAGCTAACAACCGTTCTTAACTCTAGTTCCAGGGGATCCAACGTCCTCTTCTGGCCTCAACAGGTATTGCATGACATGGGTGTACATACATGCAGGCATAACACTCATACAACATAAACTAAATTTTTAAAAATTTAGTAAAAAAAAATGGAAGAAGCCATTTCTTCCATTTGACAGATTCTTCTTGTTTTACAACACAGTTCGAGAAATTCTGTGATTTTTCCTTAATGTTTTCATCATCTTATGGTTTTACTATAAATCTTTCAAGGCCATTGTCTACCCAGTGTTTCATAGAATGAACTTGTGAGTCTAACTTTTGTCTGAGGAGGGGTAAGAGGGTGACTAGGAACAATCGAGCCAGCCATTGAAGAAGGGAATCCAAACTAGCGAGTCATCTTCTCACTACCTGAGTGGCCATGATCACTGTAGATCTCAATGGATTTGCAATGCAAAGGAACTCAGTGGAAATGCTGAAAAACGTTTAAAGAGGTGGAGTTCTGGTGGCTGTTGTGACTGCTGCAGCATGCCACGTATGTCATTTCCATCCTATTTGTTCTCTTCAAAATCTTCTAAACATTGCCCTGTGGGGGCAGGCTCACATGCTTGCCCATGTCTTTCTTTTCATAGTAACCTTTCTTATCATAGTAACCCATGTATGTGGTCTCAAAAAAATAATTAATGTGAAACAAAGATTACATCACCTTGAATGATCTGAGCTCCTAGATTGCCACAGATGTGGCAGCTCAGATCACCAGCCCCAGATCCAAGGAGGCTGGTGAGGATAGGACGTACCTGGATGAGGAATGCCTGGAGAGGCTCCTCAGACACCTGCAAAAAGAGGAGACTCTGCTGTACACAGAGAAGGCTTCCCAGTCCTCCATCCCCACCATGGTACTTGTTCCTGTCGTCATCACTGCCCTGGGAGCTGTGGTTGCTGCTCTTGTGATGTGGAGGAGGCGGCGCTCAGGCAGGGACAGTGCCCAGGGCCCTGATGCATCTCTCACAGCTGCAGCAGGAAAGAGTGCGAACGCTCAACAGTGCAAACGCTCAACAGGCCCAGCTATGATGATCTTTCACAAGCAGCCTGTGAACAAAAGTTTCCAGAAAAAAAGTGCATCTTCAGCCTGAACCTTCTGCAAGACTGATCAACTGATTAGAACTTCAATGATTGTGGAGAGTTTGGAATGTTGCAGGTCCAGAGGCTAATTACCATTTATCTTAGGCTATCTTTAGGCCCCTAAATAGCCATTCATTGCTCACCTCTGTGTCTGATCTAATATCCTGTGACTAACAGATAAAAACCTTTTGGAATGTATTAACAAAACCTTAGCTACCACCAATCAGAAGACTAAGAATGTCATCATATAGCATCTGAGGCCTATAGCAGAATTCTCTGTGCTTTGCTATAACCTGCCTACCAAATGTACCCACCAGTGTGTTGGGGACCTCTGTTATGCAAAGTAGAAGCCCCTTCACGACCAGACAGCTCATGCAGCTCGGGATCATGTGCTGCGGGCTCCTTTCATAAGCAGGGTGTCTTCCTGGCATCTTTCCTGTCTCTCCTTTTGAAGTGTCCACCACAAATGCCATAACATAAACATGGCCTTTGGCTCTGAAAGGTACCATGCCTTCCTGTGACTTTTCCTAGCAGACAGCAGTCTGGCAGAAACCCACTTCCATATGTAAATAGAATGCCTCACAAAGCATCTAACAGCCAAAGCTTTTACCACTACCCCCATGGTATAAATGTCTTAGTCCTCTCTTAATGGTCAGAGAATTGGGCTGCAGAGAATTGGGTCGCAGAAAGCTGGGACACAGAGAGCTGGGTCTCAGAGAATAAAGCTGTAACACAGACTAAGCCAAGTCTTGAGTCTTGTGTCACTACCGGCGGCCCAATCTCTCCGGGGGGCAGCACTCCCTCGTGACCGACTCGTGGACATTCTAGCTTTTGCTGTCTCCGTGCTTCTCCCGTGGGGTTCAGTGGCCAGTGGACCTCGCATCCTGAGGAAAAGTACACGGGTGGAATAGGGACAGCATTCGGCAGGACAAGTGTCCGGCAGAAGAGAAGCCCAAGAGACAGGGGCCCTGGGCCGCCGGGAAAAGCCTGCAGGGCCCCCGCTGCCGCGGCCAGAGATGCCTGTGGCCAGACCCGCCAGCGACTAGCCAGGTGTGGCGGGGGAGTGCCATTCTGGGAGTGCGCCAGAGAGAGCGCGCACGCCCCATACTTAAAAACTGTACTTAAAAACTTTTGATATAAGGCGTTCTTTGTTCTGTTGCTATAAAAACTTCATGAAACTGTTAACAAGTTAGAACATGGAATTTAGGGTATCTAAATCTATATTCTTGAGCCATGGTCATATTTGACTCCATAATAAACTGTTATCCCCTTAAAAAATAAGAGATGCCTTTTAGTTAAGAGCATTGACTGCTCTTGCAGAAGACCTAAGTTTGAATCCCAGCACCCACATGGCTGCTAAAACCTACTGAAACTCCAGTTCCAGGGGACCTGATGGCCTCTTCTGCCCTCCATGGGCACTGCATGACACGGGTCATGCATTCATACACATAAAATTGAAATAAATATTAAAGTAATAATAATTGGTATGGTTGAGGATGTAGCTCAGAGGTAGCGAGTACTTTGTTAGCATGTTTAAGGCCCTGGGTTCATGCCTCAGTGCCATAAACAAAACAAAACAAAAATGGAAAAAAGGGATCCTACGGAGGAGGACAGGAAGAGAGGGACATAGGGAAAAGAGGAAGGAGAGAAGAGAGAATTTACGAATGGCTTAGATGACTCAAACTCTGCTTCCCTCACTTTCTTCCTCTTTTAATTTTCAGCTAGTTACTTACCTTTTTCTCATCTATAAAGTGAGGAAAATGATTGTAAAAAGTGAAATAATTTCTGCCTTTGCATCCAGAGTGCTGGGATCAAAGGCATATGCCACCACACCCTGCCTGTAAAATAATTTCTTAATTTTCAATAATTTATCTTAATTTTCAATAATTTACCATGTGCAGATGGTATGCAGGTTTGGTCTTTACAACAGCCTGCACCTTCTGGTAGTCTTTGTACCAGTAGTTCCATCT